GAGAGAGAGAGAGAGAGAGAGAGAGAGAGAGAGAGAGAGAGAGAGAGAGAGAGAGAGAGAGAGAGAGAGAGAGAGAGAGAGAGAGAGACTCTCTGTCTGTCTGTCTCTCTCTCTCTCTCTCTCTCTCCCTCCCTCCCTCCCTCCCTGGGCGCGTTCGTGAATTCAAGCTGGACGTTGGCTTTCGTTTTTTTTTAATAATCAGATAATTCTTTCTTTTTTATTTTTCTGTTTTTTCCCTTGTTCTTAGTTTTTTTTTGCCAACTACCGGTAGGTGTAGGCTTGGCTAGGGTCGGGCAACCGGTAGCGGGAGGGTTGGGCCTTGACAACCGGAGGGTACTGGTGGTTTAAAAAGCTATATTCTTCTCTCAATTTCACCTCACACTACCTACCTACCACTACTCCTAATTGTAGGCATACGGGGAACCCCGTAGCAGCCAGCACCGTATTCACGAGAGAACATGCGGGGCCTGCTCTCGACCTGCAGGTGGGCGATACCGGCTAGGGGGCAGCCGGTAGCATCAGGGACCATGCCAACAGGACCAATCCCTGTGCCTCCCCTCAGGCCTCCGTCTCTTTGATTGAGAAATAAAGCTAAAAAAAAAAAAAAAGAAAAACCTCTGGAGGAGTGGCGGGACGTTGTGCCATGCCCAGCCTCGATCACCCAGCCTACTGCTCGGCGCTCCCGCACCCCCGATTTCCATCGCGCAGATCTCCTTGCGTGTCGCGGCAGCCGTCCGTGCCCGGTCCGCCTTTTTCCCGCGAGCAGCAGTCTCCGCGGGACTGACATCTGAGTGCGCGTTGTGGCCTCAGGGAGATGCGGACATGGACATATAGATTCCATTAGTATTGAGAACAGAATCCTTGACGACAGCGATTACGACGTGGATGCTGTCATGGGCATTGTCTCGGTCGGGAAAGGCAAAGGAGTGTTTTTCTCCAGAAAGCCTCTTGTTGCGTCGTTTTATGAATGAATGAGGTGGTTGCGTTCGTCGTTATAAATTATGCGAGTCTAATGGGATTTGCTCTGAAGTACCTCGAAGTGCCTGCGTCTTTCTCTTTCTCGTCCGACAAGTCGGCGGCGGCGGAGGAGGGGGGATAGACGTGGAGGGGAGTCTAGCAGGTCGCTCAGGTGGAAGACGCGGAGGGTCGCACGCACACCCAAGTTCCGCGGCGACCGCGGTGATAGGCCTGTCTCTTATACACATCTAGATGTGTATAAGAGACAGGAAGTACCTCGAAGTGCCTGCGTCTTTCTCTTTCTCGTCCGACAAGTCGGCGGCGGCGGAGGAGGGGGGATAGACGTGGAGGGGAGTCTAGCAGGTCGCTCAGGTGGAAGACGCGGAGGGTCGCACGCACACCCAAGTTCCGCGGCGACCGCGGTGATAGGCTTTGATCGTGAGGAAGACGCGGCAAGAACACACACGGAGAGAGAGAGAGAGAGAAAGAGAGAGAGAGAGAGGAGCAGAACCTCGTGGGCGATGGCGCAAGGGCCTGCGAATGGCTCTGGCAGTATTGTCCGCGATAGCGGTGCTGGAGGTAGTCGACCAACAGCAGCAATGGGTGTAGGTTATACCCCGAAGATTATCCTGATAACTGGTGCGGCGGGATTCATTGGTTCCCATGTCGCCAATCGTCTCGTCCGTCTCTATCCTCATTACAAGATTGTCGTTTTGGACAAACTGGATTACTGCTCCAATTTGCGTAATCTTGAGCCATCCATGCGCTGCCCTAATTTCAAGTTCGTGAAGGGCGACATCGCCAGCGCGGATCTGGTCAATTATCTTCTGTTGACCGAGAAGATCGACACCATCATGCATTTCGCTGCTCAAACGCATGTCGATAACTCTTTTGGCAATTCTTTCGAGTTCACGAAGAACAACATCTACGGTACTCACGTGCTGTTGGAGGCGTGCAAGGTGGCGGGAACCGTACGGCGCTTTATCCACGTCAGCACGGACGAGGTGTACGGCGAGACGGAGGCGGACGCCATTGTTGGCAATCACGAGGCGTGCCAGTTGCTTCCGACGAATCCGTACTCGGCGACGAAGGCCGGTGCGGAGATGCTTGTGATGGCGTACGGACAGTCGTACGGTCTTCCTTTCATCACGACACGTGGCAACAACGTGTACGGTCCTTGCCAGTTCCCCGAGAAACTCATTCCGAAGTTCGTCCTCTTAGCCAAGGCCGGCAGGACGCTGCCAATCCACGGCGACGGCTTGAACGTGCGGAGCTACTTGTACGCGGAGGACGTGGCGGAGGCTTTCGAGGTCGTTCTTCACAAGGGTGAGGTCGGCCACGTGTACAACATCGGGACGAAGAGGGAGCGGACGGTGCTCGAGGTGGCTAAAGAAATATGCAAGTTGATTGGTCGCGATCCCGACACGACGATCGAGTACGTGGAAGATAGACCGTTCAATGATCACAGGTATTTCCTGGACGATGCGAAGCTCAAGGCGTTGGGATGGGCGGAGAAGACGCCGTGGGAGGAAGGGCTGAAGAAGACCATGCAATGGTATCTTGCCAATCCGAATTACTGGGGCGACGTCTCGGGGGCATTAGTGCCTCATCCAAGGGGGATGATTTTTGGCGGGGAGAAGTCGCTAGTCTTGGGAGATGAGGACGAGCGGAGCCAGGCAGAGGCCGGCGAGCGACGCGTCGTGGCTCCTGTGTTGTCGCTGCTTCCCCCGAGCGCGATGGGGGTCAAGGACTCGTGGAATGCGCTGCCGAAAACGCCGACGGGGATGGTCGTGCCTCCTCGATTGAAAGTCGCCAGCATTCCCATGAAGGCGTTGATCTATGGGCGCACGGGTTGGATCGGCGGGTTGTTGGGCAAGCTGTGTGAGCAGCAGGGCATTCCGTACGTGTATGGCTCTGGTCGCTTGGAGGACAGAGCTTCTCTGGTGGCTGATATCATGGCGGCGAAGCCTACGCACGTCTTCAGTGCCGCGGGCGTGACCGGAAGACCGAACGTGGACTGGTGTGAGAGCCACAAAGAGGAGACGATTCGCGCGAACGTGATCGGAACCCTAAATCTTGTCGACGTGTGCAAGGTGCATAACCTGCACGTCACCAACTTCGCGACCGGATGCATTTTCGAGTACGACGACGCGCATTCCCTGGGCTCTGGCGTTGGCTTCACGGAGGAGGAGAGGGCGAACTTCGCTGGCTCCTACTACTCGTTCACTAAGGGCATGGTGGAAGAGCTTCTGAGAGTGTACGACAATGTCTTGACTCTGAGGGTGAGAATGCCGATAACCTCGGATTTGACGAATCCTAGGAACTTCATCACGAAGATCACGAGGTACGAGAAGGTGGTGAACATCCCGAACTCGATGACAGTGCTGGACGAGTTGCTGCCTTACGCTATCGAGATGGCCAGGAGAGGATTGAAAGGCATCTATAACTTCACCAATCCGAAGCCAATCAGCCATAACGAGATATTGGAGTTGTATAGGGATTACGTCGACCCGAGTTTCAAGTGGGCGAACTTCACGCTGGAGGAGCAGGCAAAGGTCATCGTCGCGGCGAGGAGTAACAACGAGCTCGACATGACGAAGATGAAGAAGGAATTCCCTGAAATGCTCGACATTCGGGATTCGCTCATCAAGTACGTCTTCGAGCCTAACAGGCGGGTGCCGAAAGAGACGACAACGACGAAGCTACCGCTGGAGCCTTCTGTTGTCACCTCGTCGGTTGGTGCTACCAATGGCCACCTGGGCGCTGTCTGCTGACCTTAACCTCCTTCATTCATTTCATCATCGTCCAAGGAATGCTGTTGTTGTTGTTGTTTTCTTCTTCCCTGATAAGGAAAGTGAGGGCGCTTAAAAAAAGCGCTGTCCTGTCCGCATTAAGTTGGGTGCATCCGTGTCTATTTTTTTTATCTATAGATGTGTTGTTTATTTTCGAAGAGCGAGCGAGCGAGCGAGAGAGAGAGAGAGAGAGAGAGAGAGAGCGAGAGAGCGAGCGAGAGAACGACACAGAGAGAGAGAGAGAGAGAGAGAGAGAGAGAGAGAGGTTGTTTGTGCCCTTTTGGAGAGACGAAGCGCTGTGTAGAGGTAGTGAGCGCGAGATGTTTAGCGTTCCATTTTTTGGGCATTTCTTTTCTTCGACTTTTGCATTGTGACGTCGCCCTTCTCTGGCGACAAGGAGTTGATGTGGATTCCTCTCTTCTGTTTTGGCTTTTCCGTTTTGTGGTTCTTTTGGTCGCAGTTCGTGGAATTTTCTCGGTGGTTCGGGTGGTGGCAAGATTGCCACCCTTTCTTAAGGGATTGTACTGCCGGTAGTCTGTTATGCTCGATTACGGTGAAATCACTCGAATGCATGTAATCGATTACGGTGAAATCACTGAAATGCATGTAATCGATTACGGTGAAATCGCGGGGGTGCATGTAATCGATTACGGTGAAATCACTTAAATGCATGTAGCGAGTATTTAGCGTTGTGGGTGGTTGAGACTCTTTGAGAGTAACGAAGGCGGCTTCGTATTAGGAGCCTGAAGTGGAAAATAATGGTGGTTGGTAGTGCTGACCGCTGTCAAGTCGTCGCTGCTGCAGGTCTTCGAATAACTTGAGTGGTAGGATCGCGCGCGCGAGCAGGTTCATTATTGGTGAACTATGGGGGGCAAGGATCTAACCAAGGAATGGGTCTCTGTACGTCACCAATGTGTGCGATTATCGACCAGAGCGTTGACATTGGTGCTGGAGGACCGGTCGAAGGCGGATGTCCGTTTCCGCAACTCATTTTATTACTATTATTATTTCTGTTTACATTTTATTCGCTCATCAGATATTGGCACGATCGATCGAAATAAGTGCCCTCTTCTTTTGTTGTTCATTTTTAAAAACGTTGAGTTTAATTACTTCCGAAAAATTGTCCCTTTTGGTCTTATTTGCTTTCCTTCCGCGATTCCCCCCCCCTCCTTTCCCCCTTTGCATTGGTACCTGGTCCTCGCCCCTTGTCTCTTTTCTGTCTCCGTTTTTTCTCTCTTCTCTCTCCCTTCTCTCTGAAAATCGCTGTTTTTTTTTGTCTCTGCTGAGATTCATCTTTCTTCTCTCCCTTCTCTCTGACAATCGTTGTTTTTTTTGTCTCTGGCGAGATTCATGACAATGGCTTGTTGATGCGCAATGTGAACGCGGTGTTTTTTCAAGCAATAACCACTTCTTCCGTTCACTTTCCTCTCTCGGCTTTTCTTGGATGTTCCTCAACTGTCTATGGGCGTTGCCGCACGGCACACGAAACGAAAAACGAAACGAATGTATCTTCCACACTTGGCCAGGTTCATATTTTTGCTCTAAATAGTACCGAGTGTATTTTGCCACCTTTCGTGGGCAGATGCACTCGTTTCGTGTGCCGTGCGGCGAGACCCTATCAATGAGATGTTTGGCGAGTTCTGTTAGAGCTGTACTCTTGTGAATCGTAGGCACCGTACACTTTTGAATCATAGGCATCGTACACTTGAGATGTATGGGCATGAAGGCTTTCCTCAGTACGTCAAACAAGTGCCGTTGCTCTCTGCGACGGACTGCGGGCGGAAGTTATGCCTCCTGCTCCTCCTTTCCTCCACCTCTCCTCTTGTCGCCTTTGCGTGCTGCAGCGTTGTTCGTTTATGCTGCGTTCGATTGCTTTCAGCCGTCTTTTCGCGTGAAGAAATAAAATTGCCGTGCTTCGTGGCCTCTCTCGTTCGCCCCGTTCCGTCATGGGAAGATCCCATGAGATCTGTGGAAGGCACAATCTTCGCACGTATGGGCTCTCGCTTTTATTTTGAGGTTTGGCTTTTCTTCTTGTCGTTTGCAAACTGGCGTCTTGCTTCCATTGCAATGTTCCAGGGAGTAATCAAATCTGTCACCAAGTGCCCCTGTGCAGTCGAGCGAGTTTTTGAAGCGTGCATATATGTCGTAGGTTGTTGACCTAAAAGAAAACAAAAGGCCCGTAGGTCATGTTAGGGGTTGTGATGTCTTTTTTTTTTTTTTTTTTTTTTTTTTTGTTTTGGTTTGGTGATGTTGTGACGGACGAAGAGATGGAGTGAGAAAGGGCTTTGGAGGGAGAAGAAAAAGGGGGAAAGGTGCGGAGAACGGGTTTGTGTGATGCAGGCTTGGGCGTAGCAATGGAAGGGGACATATGCACATTAACGGACGGTTTTCGTTTTGATTGTTGGTGGTCTGGGGAACTCCGCGTGAATGAATGGCGCATGACTTCTCGCATTCGTGGGTGGTGATTCTATCCTCATCTATGTGAGGGGCGGTTGAGTGCCCGAGGTAAGGTTTGCGTATGTTGCTGAATGAATGACCAAAAGATGGAGTGACAATGGGTCTGGTGATGAACATCACGTTGAAAAACAGGGCAGCTGTCTAACCATATGTGCGTTCGCGTATTTACTTCGCTAAGAGAGTATTTTACTTCGACTTTGTAGCCGCCGAGAAGATTTGACGCCTATGCGTCATGATGGAGGGAGAATTGTCTGTGTTTTGATGAAGAACGACACGGAGAGGGATGCAACGACAGCAAAGAAAGAGTCCCACAGAGACAGAGAGAGACACAGAGAGACAGAGAGAGACAGAGAGACAGACAGAGAGAGAGAGGTAACGAGGGAAGAAAATAACCATATTATAACGCGAGGCGTGCGAGATGCTGGAAGAGGGGAAACTGTGAATTTATATTGTGAGAAAGATATCGAGATAACGATTGTGTAATCGTGTGTATGTTGGGGGGGGGGAGAGAGAGAGAGAGAGAGAGAGAGAGAGAGAGAGAGAGAGAGAGGAGGAGAGGTGGGGGGGTCTCTATGGTGATGGCATTTGATTAGTGATTTCTTGGTATCTGGGTGGAAAAGTGGTTACTATGGTGATTACGTATCAATTATCGTTTAGTTTTGCATCTGGGTGGAAAAGGGATCGCTGTGGTGATTATATAAACCACCACTGCAGCATATCGATTAACCTGAGCCTGGAGAGCAGAGCCAAATGGTTTTGGATTTTCTGTGTTCAGCAGCGAGCAGAAGTATGGATACTTTTCCTTGCCTTCCTGATTTTTCCCCTTGGTATTTCTCCCGAACAGACCAGCACTCAATCTACGTCCCTATACGTATTTTCGGAGTTTTTATCGGTGCACTCAAAAGTTTGATCACTCTCTCTCCTTCTTAGTATTACGAGGGCGAGAAGTGATTCAATCGGTGCACTCAAAAGTTTGCTCACTGTTTGCCGCTCCAGATGCCTTCCCGTGACCAGCTTCGATATTTCCGCACTCGATGATTTTCATAGAGTTCAGTGATGTTATATATAAGGTACACGCATGCATGGACATGAACACCTGATGAGTGGCCGCGAAACAGTCTGCCACGCTCATGCTTTGTGGAGTCGTATGACGACAGTGACAACACATGCACACCCACAGTTGTGGGGCTCTCATGCTTTGTGGAGTCGTGTGTAGAGAAGCATACACACAATACTGGTTATTTTGTCACACGTGCACCTGCACACACACACACACACACACACACACGCACACACACACACACACGCTCACACACACACACACACAAAAAAAAAAAACTCCTGACGAGTCCGTGAAAGTCCAACGAAACAGTTGGGCGCAGTCATGCCTTTTTTTGACTGTATAGCGAATGTATGGCAACACAGACGCACAAACACAAACAGACGTACTGCCATGACAAAAATGTGGCGGGTGCATCTGGTCGTGTCGTGTTTTAGCGGAAAGTTCATCCTCATTTTGCACATTTGGGGAGTGGTGTGGGGATGCCCTTTGTGTGTGAGTAAAGTAGACCACTTTTCCTGGGAGAATTGCTAACTCTGGGCGAGGTGGCGAGGCGGTATTCATCAGTCAAATGCACCCTGGGCAGACTGCACAGGTTCAAACTGCTATGAGTCGGTGAAAGTCCAACAACAGTCTGACACAGGCATGCCTTTTTGTGGAGTTTTATACCGATTATCAGGTTGTCAAACGCTGACAGTCCGTCCAGGATGCATTTGACGGATGGATAAGGGGACGCACTACGTCGCTCAGAGTTAGCAATACCCCTGAGAAAAGTGGCCGACTTCCCTTATGCCAACCTCGCGCTGTGTTTGTGTTTGTGTGTGTGCGCGCAACCCCTGAGAAAAGTGGCTGACTTCCCTTATGCCAACCTCGCTCTGTGTTTGTGTCTGTGTGTGTGTGCGTGCGCGTGTACCTGTGGGTGTGCAGGTGGTGTGTGGGTGGCTCTGTGTTTGTGTTTGTGTGTGTGTGTGCTCGGGTGTACGTGTGGGTGTGGGGTGTGGGTGTGGGTGTGGATGTGGGTGCGCGTGCGTGTGTGTGTGTGTGTGTGTGTGNGTGTGTGTGTGTGTGTGTGTGTGTGTGTGTGTGTGTGTGTGTGTGTGTGTGTGAGCGTGCGTGTGTGCGTGTGTGCCTGTATTTGATTGATTGATTAATTGCTATTATGGATAATTTGCAAAATACCCCTATAAGTTGAGATATATGCCAAAATGCCCCTGAGAGATGCCGGTAGAGCGGAATGCCCTCTTGGGCGGAATTCTTTGTTTTACGCCCCTATGGCCCTGTCAGGCCGGTGCACAAATTTGCAATCTGGACCTTGCCGTTTCGGCGTGAGGATTTTGCAATCAGGCCTTGGAAAAGTTGGCTAGTGCGCACTGTACTGGGACATTTTGCAAAGTTGGACGGTACCCGGTAGGGGTATCTTGCACAGATAGGGGGTCCAACTGATGCCAGGGGTATTTCACAACAGCCTTTTTTTGTCAGAGGGGCATCCCCCTCTATTCACATCTTTTGGGGGCATTTGGGCATATATCTCAACGTATGGGGGTTGCAAAATTTTACTTGATATTAATTGATTGATGTATAAAAGAAGAAAAGAGAAAGTGAAAAAAACAACAAAAACAACGGAGGTACCATTCCTTTGTTTGAAGCAGGCGTTCGTATTGCACAAGAATATTCTGAGGCTGGGGGCCATGTCCCACTTGGGGGGGGGTTAGTTTATATGTTTCCTGTATTTTTCAATGCGGTCACACTGTGCCCGTGAGATTTTCAGATCGGATGGCAGGGAGCCATATAGTTGGACATGGCCCCCAGAGCTTCACAGTCCAGAACCGGAGTACTGAGGGCATACTCACACGAGGACCAAAAAACCCAAAATCCCAAAATTTGAGTCATTTTTCGGGTCACACTGGAGAGGCTCGCTACCCAAATGCCTCAAACGGTGACCTTTCTGTCAGAGGCCTGCAGGGCCGCGGGCGTACCCTTTTTGAGACCACCTCCGGAGGTGGTCTCAAATTACCTTTCGTTTGTTTTTTCTTTTTCTGGAATTGAAGAGAATCGTAGACGAAGAAGACAGCCCGCCAAACAACTGAAAGTGCAACCAGGTACATTAAGTTGTAGATAAGGCCCAAGTGTTAAATTGTTTTTTTCAAACAATCCATCTTTTCGTTTGGTCCTCCCCCGTGTGACCGGGCGCACTTGCCCTGAATGCAAAGTGTCAGGGTCGCGACTTCGTCCTTTCTGGACGAGGTCTGCCCGTGTGACCACACGGGGACCGAATGCCTCAAAAAAGGCGAACCAAATGCCTCAAAATTTTGAGACTTTTGGTCCCCGTGTGAGTATGCCCTGAGAGCATTACTCAGATTAGCTTCACCTGTGAACTTTTCACTTCCCCGTCTAAAACTTACAAATCCAGAGGTATCCATATTTTTGAAGGCCCCCGTCTTCGGCAAATTTTGCATTTTTTTTTTTTGGGGGGGGGGTTCTGCAAAAGAAATTGAAATTTTGCGGGAATGTAGCTTAGAAGCAGGGGAAACTGCAAA